CATTATAAGAATAAGGTGATAGGAGAGGAAAGAAGGCAAAAATGAAAGAGGATTCCAGAATAAAGAATCGAAACATAGTTTTAAAAAAACTCATCGGTTTTACCAAAGAGAAAAGATTTCAAAGAGTGTTAATGATGGAAAAGATCCAGAAAGGGCTGTGGGTTTAAAAAAATTCAATGAAGAAGTGCTGGTATATGTTGGCAAAGAGAAGTGCAGAGTTGAGAGGAGGGAGAGAATTTATGGTAGAGGAAGTAGGTGTGAAGTTTTCCTCTAAAGATGCCCAGCAAAGAAGGAATGAAAAAGAGGACCTTTGGGAATAAGGTAGGGCTCGGGCTGAAGCAGCAGGGGAGAAAACAACAGAGCTCAAAGTAGGAAATGCGTTTCTATTTTCTTATTAACTGACTCAGATTTTCTTGTTCGGAGGCAAGGGGTTTTGTTGTTGTTGTTTTAATGTAAAGTTCATTCTTTCTTGCAATTGTCCAAGATAACATAGGATCATGATAATTGTTGTGCCAGTTTCTGAGATAAGTATTAAATACTATTTACAGTTGGTTTTAGAAGAGAAATCAGGCTAAGTAAGTTGCCATGATGTGCAACAATTATGTGAATAAAAACAGCTTTCTCTTTCTCCCTTTAAAATCAGCTGCAGGGTCAATATAGAAAAGAATTAGAAATAATTATGTTCATGGTAAGAAGCTGCACTGCAATCCCAGAAGTACACGGTTTGAGTCCACCAGATCCTCTGCTGGAGAAGGAGGGGCAATCTCCTCCTGTACCAGTCAGATTCAATTTGATGGTACACACAAAAATAATAATAAAAATTAAAATAAATAATTATATGCATAGCCACAGAAGATGGAAAGTAACCTGACATTTATGGGAAAACAGAATCCCTTATCTTTTTATACTGTAATGCAAAGCCAAGAAATATTTCACTTAGTTCAGGTTGATGAATTAATTGCACAAAAAGAAACTAATGGGTGGGAGGGAGGAATTCTAGAACAATGAAAGAATTTATTTATTTATTTATTTATTTTCAAAAAGAAAAGCAAACTGGGGCAAGTGGCAGGGAGGAAAATGTGCAACAATGAATGAATGGAAGTCCAAGTTCTCTATAAACTTTCATTAAAATCTCAACTAAAAAAAGGAAAGAAAAAAACCTAACATTAAAGATAAAGACCATAAAATGAAGAAGCAGGAGCCTGGAAGTGCTTTGATACTCTTATAGAAAAATAGTAAATTAACGCCCCTGAATCCGGTCAGTTAGTGAGGGGGAAATGGCATAAAATCAAGACAAAGGCGAAAAGTCCCAGGACCAAGTAATTAAACTTGATAGCCTCACTTAGGGTTTTAAATCAAATACTAAGCTACGTTTCCCAATTTTTATTTTAAAAATTTTTCATTTCACAAAATCACTTGCATTGTTTGATCATGCAATCTCAATGACTGAAAAAATTCAATATCTATTTTTCCAACAAAAACTGAATGGCAGTTTGACACTGATAATCCTGCTTTTAAACCACCCATTAGTCTTCCCACTCCAAGACAAACAATGCCTCCATTCTAAGCCAAATGCCTCATTTTGCCATTCAAAGCCTTTCCCCACATGTACCCAAATAACCCTACCTCCTCGTGCTACTCCCTAAAACCTGCTCTTCACACCTTCCCACCGGATGTGGGATTCTTTCCCTCCATCTAGGTTTTCTAAGGACTAAACTGGTACTCTCCAACTCCAGCCAATCCCAAACTCGCTCTGCATCCCAAACTTGTCCCTGAACTTCTACTCTTCCCCTTTCCACAGCTTCATGAACTCCTCAGCCTCCACCGCGTTGGAGGTCTAGCCTCTCCACAAGCTATCTGGGGCGAGAGAAGGCCTACCTGCTTCCATTCAGCCACAATCTATGTATCAAGCATCTATTTTGTGTTTCATGCCAGCGGAAAAACCAAGACATGGGTGACCTTTTTCCCACCCCCCGCCCCCCAGCAACTCTGTCCTGGGCGCCTCCACAACGACTCTCCCCTGGCTAAGGCTTCATCAGAAGCTCCAGATCTCTTCTCTCCCTCCTGTCCGCGGCCGCTACTTCCTATCCGGCGGCGGGGGTCCGCGGTGACTCACCGGAGGGCCGGCCAGCCAGGGGGCCGGAATGCGCTCACTTCCTCGCCGCGCGCACCTGCCCGGCGCTCCTGGAGCACAGCCCGGCCTCCGGCGGATGTTTTCCTTGTCCCCGCGCAGGCGGTGCCTGCCAACTGCCTCGCCCCTCGCCCCTCACAACTGGTGGCCTCTCCTCTGGGAGTCAGAGGTTCAACGCTGACCACTGACACCTCCTGTACACACACACACACACCCGCTCTGCCTCCAAGGAGCTCCTTGAACAGATACACTGCAGTGCACACCCTCGCGGGCACGCCAACTTATAGAAAGAAATCTTAGCCCTAGCCTCTCATTCCAAGGCCTCCGTAGGTATAAGCCCCTCTGACTCTCTGTCCTCTAGCAACACACCTGCCTCCCTCCTTTTCACTGCAGATGGTCAACCTTGCATTTCTCCTGTCCACATCACCTCACCGCCAACATGCCAATGTTCCCTTCTTAACTTCCACCATTCAATACAACCTATTCAATGCTTTTCCCCCACATTTTCGCCCTGTTGAGCTGGCTCTCAGCTGCAAGAAGGAAAGGTAATGTACAGTGATTAATAAAACATAATGCATGGAAATGATTGGATGAAACGTGAATGAAGAATAGTATGAAACAATGTATATGAGCTCTGTAAGCAAATATAAAAATTTTAAAAAAGAACAAACAGATATGCCTAAGAATAGGTGTAGCCAGAGTGCTGGGGGGTGGGGGTGGGGGAAAGTAATCTATGATAGAATCTTCCAGGTTGTCAAGTAGAATCTCCTTACTTAGAAAGCCAGCAGCAAAGTCAGCGATCACTTACTTGTGGCTTCTAACCCACCTACTCCTTGAGGAGGTCAAGGCCATGATCAATACACAGGAACCCCCCCACTACTTGAGGAGGTCAAGGACATGACCTACACACCACCCCACCCCACCCCCCAGCTCCTGGAGGAAGTCAAAGCCATGACCTACACACACAAAACCACCTACACTTTGAGGTCAAGGCCATGACCTACACACAACAGAGCCTACCTCAGGATACCTTGTTGCAGGGTAAGTAGTTATTCCCCTACACACTAGCCCCTAGGACCCTCCAGTGTCGTATTCTGAATGTGTGGTACATTCTGAATCTGCACCCAAGTTGTCTTCCTGGAAGAAAACAGCTAGGGAGTTTGAGGTAGACTGAAGCTATTTTTTAACAGTTAAGAGGCTGAGGCACGAAAAAACTTGGAGTAGTTCTATCTGATCCACTGGGCAACAGTCTGGGGATAAATGGGATTTTGGCCCTTTAAGAAAAAATGGATTACATTCCAAAGTGATCTTACCCTGCAGATAAGGAAATTGTTGGAACAAGGGTCTTTGGAGTGTGGGATAAATGCCAAAAACCCAGTGTGCGAGGACTTTATGCCAAAGTGATGGTTAACATTAGAATAGGTTAGGGAGGAGTTATGAGTGACGGTGGGATAAAAGAAGTTATCTGGAAGGACTTTGCAGGCAGAGTACTAACCTGAAGGAAGCAAAAAGGGTTTATCGGCACCAAGACAGATGTTCGGAATTTCAGGGACACAAGGACCAAAACCATAAAGCTCTTTGAGGTATGTTTTTGAAGATGGTGTCAGGTAGGTAGCACAGGGCTAATCTGTGCCAGGAGATAGAAGCCTCAGAAACCGCAGCTGCGCAAACGCAGCCATTCAACCTGAAAGTCTTTGTGCTTCAGCACCAATCATGAAAATGGATTTCCCCCCCCCCAGGATGAAGTGCTAGACACTTTGATGGCTATGAATACTGAATGTATTATCTCATTTAATCCTCATAATGATCCTATGAGTTACTACTTCCAATTTCAAATGAGGAAACAGGCTGAGCAATGAACAACTCCCCTAGGGTTGCATAACTCGTAAGTGGCGTCAGGATCGGAATCTGAGCAGCGTGTATTTCCACAGCCAATGCTCTTAACTACCTATCTTGAGGTCTTCCAGAACCTTGAGGAAACTCAAGAGAATGTCAGAGGGTAAATTTCTAAAAGAGGGGGTACATCTTCTGCAAAACCAGAATTAGGGCACGTAGAGATGTTAGTGGAGGTGCTCCTCTCTGAAGGGAAGGCAAAGCCACCCCCAGGTATGTCTCTGCGGCAGCTGTCTTACTGACGAGTTCACCTGTCCATAGATAACAGTTCACCACTGAGATGCCTGCAGGAGGCCTCTCATCTCTTGGGACTACCTGGTCTCCTGGCCTCAGAAAGACCCTGACCCAGGGTTTAAAGGAAACACACTCTCCACTCCAGGTGCCCGTGCCCTCTTCTGGAGCCTCTGGCCGTCGCACCCCACTTCAGCGCCTTGGTTTGGCTGGGGAACAGGATTAGCTATCCCCAGGAAATGCCTTCCTCCGGTCCAGGCAGGGATCCCAGCATACACACCCCTGGAGTTTGTGTGTTATGTGTTGGGTGGGGTGGGGGGAGTAGTGGAATGCTTCTTCCTCTCCAGGTCAAGGAAGAGATCTGGGGACCACCTGGGGACCCTTACCCCCCTTCCCAACTCCTTGCTTAGGAAGTGCCCAGTCCAATGCCCCTTCCACGGTCACCTCCCTCCCCCTAGCTGTGCTGAGGCATGAATCAGCACTCACAGCTTGTTAAAGCTAGACCTCTTATTTTCATGCCTTCACCTCAGGAAACAGAGTTACAGCTTTTCCAGCTCTGCTCAGCAGGGGGCCAGGGTCCCCACTTTATAAACATCCCCAGGCCTGTGAGAGCAGAGGGCACTGAGGTGGTTTGAGACAGAAGCCCAGGAGAAGGAAGAAACTCAAGAAAAGAAACAAAGAAAAGTCACCAAGGCAGAAGCTACAAAGGGTCCAAGGAGGCTGTGCTGCAAAAATTATCTTAACAATGCTCTGGGCTGGACAGGCCAAGCGGACCTTGCGGGGCCAAGGGATCATTTGTTTGGTGATAGCTCTACTTCTCCAGCACCCAGGAGTCCACAGCAAGTGCTACTTTCAAGCTCAAGGTAAAATCAGGGGAGGTATTAGGAAAGGGCAATGAGCAGGGGGAGGGAACTGGATCAAGGGGTAATATGTTATGATACCTAACCTCTAACTAGCTCTAATGTCGAAAGAGAAACAAATATGGGGTTATGTGGTCTTATCCTTTCCCACCCCCATACCAGAAAAGATTGTCTTTCCTCCATGAATCTCATACATACTAACATTTCCCATTCTTCCCTAGCCCCCTGTCACTATGAGGGGAAATATTTTACCCTGGGTGAGTCTTGGCTCCAGAAGGACTGTTTCCATTGTACCTGTCTACATCCCGTTGGTGTGGGCTGCTGTGACACGTGAGTGACTAAGGATGGCCAGTAACTTGAGTGACTGAAGGATGGCAGGAAGTGATTAGATTGGTATGGTGTGAGAATGAAAAGAATGGCTGTATGAGACAAGACAAACCTGAATGTACCAAGAAGATTGTGTAAGTAAGGCATTAGGTTACAAAGCAAGGGAGGTAAAGGTGGATCTGAAAGTACAGTCTTATTGCAAAATGAAAAAGCTCATCTATGGCAGGCTAGAGCTCACTGGGAGAAAGCAAGCAAGTAATGGGGGGTGGGGACGAGGAGGGATGCTGGAGGAGAGAAAGGTAGGATAGAGGTAGCCCTTTACTCTGTTGACTCCTTTTCTATTCTTTGGTTCCTTAGGTCCCAACACCCCATCGACTTCCCTGCTGGCTGTGAAGTACGCCGAGAGGCAGGAACCTGCCAGTTCTCCCTTGTGCAAAAATCTGACCCTCGGCTGCCCTGCAAAGGGGGAGGACCCAACCCAGAGTGGGGTTCAGCTAACACTCCTGATCCTGGAGCTCCTGTTCCCCACTCCAGCTAAACTGATCACCCTCTGCCAACTGCTGCTGCCACTTGCAGGGAAACCACTAGCAGCTGCCAGTTTATTCTGAATAAATAAATTAAAGCCACAGCTGAAAGCCTCCCTCTCGTTGTCTATGCTATGGGCCCTAGGTGGGAACAGTGGGCCCTACTAGAGTCCAACAGAGACCTGGATATGCAGTGTTGTAGCATTTTTCAGTTGCTAACTTAAAGATCGGCAGTTCCAATCCACCAGCTGCTCCGTGCATTCTCATTAAGATTCACAGTCTCTGAAACTTGATGTGAGGTCATCATGAGTCCGAAGCGACTCAACAGTATCAGCTTTGGATTAGTATCTTACTAATGTCCAAGTGGCGCTTCTCAATATCCTGAAGGCAAGGAGGTGGTGAGGCCAGTTTCAGATGGTTATAGTGCTGGTGCTAGGCCCAGGCGCAGCATATGAGGCCAAGGTGGGGCTCGTAGGCAGCACCTTGATGGGGAGGTCCCAGCTGAAGGTGTCTACAGGCACTTGCTCGGGTCCTGTCCAGGTGGCAGGCTCAGGCTGCTCCATGGGCGGCAGGAGCACCAATCCTGGTTCTCGGGATGTGACAAATTCAAAATGCAACCGCCACTTCAGAGACACTGGGAGGAAAAAAAGATGTACATAGAGACATTAGAAAGAATAAATAAATGTCAGTGGTGTGGTTAGTTAACAGAAACTGTATTGAGAAAGAGAGAGAGAGATCATAGAGCAGAGAGTTAGGATTAAGGATTTTTCCTAAAGAATTCAATGTTAACTAGAGGGGTCAAATAAGAACAATAGTGCCACATACATAACAACCTCAGAATGGGGCAGTCAAAAGTAGGTCACTTGAAGTACTGGGGGATCGGAGATGAGGGTGGCATAGGATTCTAACAAGTAGGGCCGAAGAAGGAGCTCTGCAGAGCTGTTCAAGAGTTGAAGGGTCAGAGTGTCTAAACCACAGGAGTATAGAAAGAAGGGAGGCCTCAGGAAGAGGCCGATTATGACTGTGTCTAAGAATATGTCAGCAATCAGGGTCATTACACTCTACATAAGCAGAACATTGGACTTTCCTTCTTCCACCTACTCCCAAAATGATCAAAGTCTCACCAATTGCTGTGCAGAAGCCTGGAGTGGAGCTGAGAGGGATGGGCAGAGAGAAGCTCGTTCTGGTTGTATGCAGACAGGACTCCTGGTGGCGGGCATGAGTCACATGGGACACAGAAGGAGCCCCTCCTGCCCCACGTCGTCGCTGGTACTCAGGCTGTACCCGTTCCTCAGTCTGTAAGCTTACTGAAAACTGGTAGCAAGGAGAGAGGTACAGGTTAGCAGGTATTTTGAAGGACTGACTGTAGATGAGAGGGAAGCCCAACCTCAAGCTGTTTAAACTATCAAAGGGGATCTAGGAGAGCCCACTATCTACTTCTACAGACCTCCCCTCTTTATCCTGATAGCCTAACCCTAGAGGCCTACTGCCCCAGAGACCACTCTGCTCTCTTACCTGCAAACAAGCCACAGTTCCTTCTTCTAAGTTTAAGGTTCCTACCACGTCCTCACCAAGTCTGTACACAGATTTGAAGATGCCAAAAGTCCCAACTTTCCCTCGGCCATCACTGACGTTGTACAGATCTAGGAAGAACATGAAGCTGTAAGCCTGGATTACACACTGGCAAATACCCAAGCCTGGAAATCAGGGCCCAAATGGTGGGGCTTTTCTTTATACAGGCATTCCCTGTTTTACCATGCTTTGCAAAAATTGTGCATTCTTTCAAACTAAAAGTTAGTGATAACTCTGCATGGCATTCCAATAGGATGTGTTAACTTTGCATCAACATATAACATTTTGGTAATTCTCGCATTTCAAACTTTTTCACAATGTTACTGCACACTTGATACAGACCCGCACACAGTATTGTATAAAGACAACTTTTACAAGTACTGAGAAACATTACAATATAAGCTTTGCTGTAATAATCACATTGTAGCAGCCTGAAATAAAACTTACAGTATTTCTAAGTTGCGACTATAATTTAGTGTGAGATACCAATGGATCCTCGCTAATTAATGGGAATTTCCCTCACATAGGAATCCTTTACGAGGAAGGGTGAGGTGGAAGAGTTTAGAAAGGATTCTCACGGAGGCTGCGGCAGGATGTGGCAGCCATGAGGCGTTCCCCAGCAAGCTCAGCTAGCCATGAATCCTTCTTGCCACCTTCATCTTCCTCCAGGAATGGACTGGATGGGGCTACAGCCTCATCCTGGGGAAACCGAACATCTTGAAGACCTTAAAAGGGAATGAGTGGGGAAGAAACGTTGGGAGGGACCCAATATCAGAGTTTTAAGAGCAAACTAAGAGGGATGAAGGCAAGGAGAGGCACATATGTCAGCTTCATCTCCAGGGCCCGACCTCCCCAACCCCCCAGCACCTTCATGAAGACCAAGAAACTTCTTCCTTCCCATTCACAAGCCCCCCCTGACCACTTCTGCTTTAGTGAGGCTCTTCCCAAGCCCTTCCCTCAGGCTCCCTTTACTTACCAGTCAGCACAAGAACCCTCAAAGGGACCCTGAGTAAAGTGATGGGGGAGTTGACACGCTGGCAGCCAATGGTCAGTTTGTAGACGTATTTGACTGACTGTCCTCGAAAGGAGGGTGGTCCCTCCATTGGCAACACTTCACTGTAGGAGTCTGGTTGGAAAGCAGTAGTCAGGGCAGCCAGAGGAATCCTCACTCCAGGAGACAGAGAAGCAATCGGGGTGGGAGGCAGGGGAAGGTAGGGGCAGTTACTCACTCACATGATTTAGACTCTCCAGGCTCTAGCCTCAAGTCACAGAACAAGATTTTTGGTGGTGTAGAAAGGATACACTGCCCTCTTTCTCCTAAGATGGAGAGAAAAAACAAAACAAAACAATTAACAACTCTAAGGTCCAGCACCTAAGGCTAGCACAGCAAGTGGGTGCAGTGAAGGGCTAACAAAGGACAACCCAAACCAAGCTGCCTTTTTTCCCCTGGTGTGAGACAGAATCACACACTTAGACTCCAAAGGTCATCTACAACCCCCAACATGTCCAATGTGACAGAAACTATAATGGTCCATGGAAACGATTAAACAATTTAATCTCTGAAAAGCAATGCATCCATATCCCTCCAGAGGCAAATACTCCATCTCTGACCTCGATGTGGCAGAAAGACCGTCTGGCTTTCGGGCTGGACATCTGGCTGACTGGAGTCAGGAGGAGGCAGCGCGACTCGACTCTCACTGGCATGGAACTGGCAGTGGATCTGGGCACTGGCCCAGGCCAAAGCTTCACTGTAGGAAGAGGAAAAGGGGGCATGAGAAGATAGTTCCTGACCTCACAAGTGCTCTATTCTCTACCACATCATCAGATGAGAATAGAGAGAGTTTGGAGTCTTGATGATTAGGAAATTCAGAATTCCCAAGACACCCTTAAGCAAAGAGAAGTATGTAAAGGGTATATAAGAACATGGGGGACAAGAGGGCTATGTCATCTAAATCTTCTAATAGCCCGTTCCTACAATGAGGGCACAATGAGCAGAAAGTGGCAGGCACATGCAGCCACAGGACAACCTGAGCTCCAGGCTTGTACTACAGATGCCAGGCTCCCTCCCGGAAGCAACACCTTCAGTACCAGCATCCCCACCTGGATGCAGAAGTGGCTTTCGGGGGCAGGGGGTTGGTGACTGTCACCACACATTCCAGTGCCTCCCCAGCCAGAAACACGGGACCCCGGCTCAGCTCTGCTACCACTTCAATCATGGCAGCTCCGGATCAGATCTAAAGAAAACAAAGCGGATTAGAGGTCTACACCATGACAAGAGTATCTGAGGCCAGTACCTGGGGGTTAGGCCTAAGGAGGCGAGCGGTCAGGTGTTGGGGGGCAGCAGTGGATCTGGGCAGTGGGTAAACAGAATGGAGGGCCAGGCAGAAGCCCAGATTCCCGCCCCTCTCAATACCGGGTTATTATTCCTCACTCGCCGGGAATCCCAGGTTGGCTTCCACCCCTCTTCCCTAAAGGTTCCACGTCCCAGCCCAAGGTCACGCCACCTGTGCCCTCGCGCTGCACGCCGAGGCCCTCGCCCGGCGCAGCTAGGGTTCCCCGCACCCCCAGCCCTACACCTTCCCGTGTCTCCAGAACCGGGTGCGAAGCGACATCCGCAGAGTCGGCGGCGAGGCAGAGGCGGGACTTCCGGTGGGTTCCCCGAGGAGACTCTTCCGACCGGAAGCGCCTGCTGGCCGGACCGGAAGAAGGCTAAGTGGTCTCTGCATTTTGGGTCACTTTCCCACCTGCCGGACGCCTCGCCGGAGGGACCTAGTGCCCAATCCTGGAGGGCCTGAAGGAGCAGCTCGGGGACCGGGCCGCTGTGGCCCCTGGCTCGCCCCCGCCACAGGGAGCTCCCGGGCGGGTCCCGAAGGCGGTGACTTGCTGGCTGGCCCCGGGACTCCTCCCCTCTCCGCGGGACCCACTGCCCTTTGGCGGGGCTCTGTAACCACCGCGGCCCAATGACGGCGAGGCCCGGCCCTTCCCGCCCAGAACCCAGGAAGACAACCGAGGGCTATCCTGAAGTGGCTTTATTACGGTTGTTGTCGCCGCCGCAGCTCATCTCCTCTGCAGAGGCACCAGCTCACATCAGCTGTCCCCAGCACCAGATACTCCTGGATAGCGCCTAACAACACCAGCGCCAGGATTTGGCGAGATATTTTGTTCCAAAGGACAGCGGATCCCGGGCCATTGAGGTCGTGAGGACCCAGGATACAAGGAACATGGAAACCGGCACCCCAGCCTCAGAGCAGACTAGCTGCGCCAAAGAGGATCAGCAGGTTGGTTTCCTTGAAGATACTGGAGGTGCCGAGGCTGTGCGCACTGCAGATCCGAAGAGCACTGAAGACGGTCGACCCCAAGATGAGCCGGGCAGCGGCAACCAGGAGAATTCTGGGCAGCTGATGGCTTCCTATGAAGGTACAGCCAGGGGGTATCAGGTGCCTCCCTTTGGCTGGCGCATCTGCCTCGCTCATGAGTTTATAGAGAAGAGGAAACCCTTTCAAGCCAACAACGTCTCCCTGAGCAACTTGGTGAAGCATGTAGGCATGGGCTTGAGGTGAGTAGACATTATTGCTTAAGAACACGTTCAGCGCGTGATTTATAGCAGGGATGTGAAAACCGGCCTCAATCTTCTTGTATATTTTAGGCTTATGGTTTTTTGGGGTGGTGAGACCAAGTAACATGTCTTTGCCACCCCCTTCCTCCCAACACCATCTTGTCTTTTCTGTAGGAAAGGGTAACACATCTGGGCTGGGATCAGCCTATCCCACTTAGGCAACACTCTCATAGACACACACACAAACACCCGGCGTGGGCCGAGATTGGCTATGCTGTGTGGCTGCTTTTGACCTGACAGTTATTTTATGTGGAGGGGGAGGGTCTTAGATCCTCCTGAGAGCTTCTAGGGCAATCTTTGTACCTCATGTACACCGTGCCCCATCCATGCCTTTCCTCGAGCTTTAGCTCTCATGGGAACTTTGGTTTGGTGGCTTAGTCTGTAGGAAGTTGTGCTGCTAACCCAGGGGAGCTTAAGTCTGGCAGTTCAAATCTGCCTCTAGCTCTGCAAGAGAAAGATGGGCAGTCTCTTCCCATGTTATTTACATCCTCTGAAAACTCATTGAAGGGCCAGCTAGGAGTTGATTCAGATTCGAAGGCAAGGAGTTGAGTTTGCTGATTTAGCTCTAGGGAGTGGGTAAGCAGTCCTTCAGCTCTCAGCCCCAAGAAGGTGAGTGAGGTATAGGTCTCTCTATTCTGGAATAGAAAGCTCTTGATACAAAAACAAGACTTCTGACTAGAGAAGCACTGCCATGGGTGTCCCCAGAGCTCTTGATAATAGTCTTCTAGAACCTGCCCTCATTCCCCTGCATCAAGAGTTACAGGCACCCTCAGAACCTGTCCTGGGCTTTAGAACCCCTTTAGATGCCTCCAGGTGGATTCTCACTAAGTTCAAAGACTAGTGATGAGGAGGAACCAAACCTCTAAACAGGAGCAGGTGGCTGAGAAGATAGAAATCATCACTTTGAGGTCATAATGAGTCAGTTCACAAAGTAAATACTGGGCGTAGGATGGAGGTGTGCAGGTTGAGAAATTCCGTTCTAATAGCTCCTAAATGGGAGATCCTTCACTTCCCCAGTCACTGCTGTGGGACTAGGGTGAAGAGACTGTTTACCTTACCCCAGCCCTAGGCAATAGGAGGGACCAGAGCTTCCTGCTTAACAGACTCCTTTGGTAGTTCCTGGAGCAGAGAATTATCTGTCCCTCAGGCTGCTTCTGAAGCTGACCCAATCCAATGTTTATCCCAAAGCCTTTTGTTGAAAATAAGATCTAGGTCCAGGATACTGAGAGTATAGTGAAGGGATGGGGGAGTGGGGGGGGGAGAAGGTGTTGAACAATGAGGTCAAAAACTGGTGGCCATCAAGGTTCCCTCACCTCTTGAGTATAAACTGAGTCATAGAGGCCTGAAGCCATGCTCAGCTCTGGACATTGTGTCCCGTCACTGACACAGAACTTTTGGAATGGGATGAAGTCCTGTACTGAGGTGAGACAAGGAGAAATTCTGAATGATAATTCTGAGTTGAGCTGAAGTTATGGAGGTGGCCAAGAATGGTCAGCTACTAAAGATTAGTAGGGAAAAAAACGCTCTACAGAAGAGAAAAATGGACATTCATTCTCCTCCTGTGCAATTTACAGCCTCAGTTCTCATTTGACAGCAATGAGTTTTTAATTTAAGGGAGAGAGTAGACCCAACAAAGAGTTCTCAGGCTTTGAGTGCTCAATTTTTATTGCTTTCTCTTGCAGCCAGAATCTATTCGTACAGTAAATACACAGTGCTTATACTGGACTCCTTTGTTCTGCCTCTCTTCATTGCCATTTCCTTCCTCCCTTCACCAGTCCTTCTCATTTTAAAGTCTGGTTTCCTGTGAGCTGCCAGAGAATATCTTCAGCCATTCCATTATCTCATCCTTTGTCTTCCCTTCCTCCTTTCTACCCTCAGAATTGACCCTCCTTATTCTTTAATAATATTCTCTTTCCTTCAGTCCTGTACATCTTTTATACCCTACTGTTTGTACACCCCTTCATTTGTAAATGAAACAAATATTTATTGACTGCACACCATATGCCTTGCCCTGGGCTGTGGGTAATATTTAGCTAGACAGTGACAGTGTCCCTCTTCTCACAGAATGTAAGAGTATGGCAGACTCACATAAGGAATATCGAAATAACAAGGCAGTGTTTGATTAAGAGTTTAGACAGTGTATGTACAAGTACTAATCATACCTAACAGTATTCTACTTTACGGCTTGCCTATCTATTATACCTTTCTGTGTCACTTGGTTCTTTTAAATATTCCATGAGGTAGGGAGGGCAGGAGTTATCCCATTTGGTAGCTGAGGAAACAGGCTTAGAGGGGTTACTTACCCATTTACAGGATTAGAAATAGTATCTTTGAACAATTGGTAAACGCTTGCTAGGGTACAGAGGTGAGAGAAAATGTGGAAGTGAGAGAGTCAGGAAGGGTTATTTAGTGAGAACCAACTTTGATTAGGAACTTATAGGAAATAAGACTTAAGTTAGACTGGGGCAGATATTAAGAGTTTTGAATCCTAGACTTAATCACTCTGAGAAGATTCTGAGTTGGGCTGTGACAAGACCAGGAAAATGCTGAGATTGTCAGAAAGCTTTACTAGGATATTATGAGAAAGCAAAATCAGAATGCTTCTAATTTAAATGCTGCACTAAACAAAGACTCAGCGTGAAAGAATACATTGAAATGCTAACAGTGGTTGTCTATGAATGAGGTTTTGGGGTGGTTTTTTTTTTCCACTTCCACTTGGTGTATTCTTAAAGTGTTCACCTTTTATAAACAAGAAGGAAAAAAATATTTTAAAATAGAAGACAGTCTATTCCTATTCTTGTTAAGAGATGTTGGTGTCAACCAAGGAACTGAAGTGGCCAGTGGTCCTAAGGTTAGAACTAAAGCAGTGCTAGCTGAGTTAGAGAGGTAAGGAAAAACTTGAAAATCTTTCTTAGAAGAGTGGGATAACAATGGCAATGTTATCAATATTATGAGCTTGAGTGATGGGAAGGATGGAGGAACAATGAGTTGTAGAAAAGTCTACAGGAGGAAAGGTGGAGGAAAATTTGGAAGAGGAGGTAGGTGATTAGTCCTTCAGACCATTTCGTAGGAGGTAACAGTGGTGTGTGCCTAGAGAGAAGCAATTGACTACAGCCTGTGATACATCACTCACCTTCCCACTAAACTTTCCACTGCCTTTTGCTCCTCAGGTACTTGTGCTGGTGGTACAGGAAGACTCAGGTGGAAAAGAAAAAACCTTTCATTGACATGTTAAATTGCTTGCCCTTAAGACAGATCTATGGTGAGTCTCACCCCAGCTCTGCGCTGCTCCAAGAGGCTCCTACTTAAGGGCTGCCACCAAGTTAGGGAAACTGTCTTCCAGCTTTTGCAAATTGCCTACCCCATCCCCTAGGGTTTTAGAGGAACCCATCTTCAGAATCCAGAAGGTGAAAAGTAGGCTTATCTTCTCACACTCCCAGGTCCCCACTAACCAGTCTGATTCCCTCTAGGTTGTCCTTTGGGTGGCATTGGAGGAGGTACTATCACCCGTGGCTGGAGAGGCCAGTTTTGTCGTTGGCAGCTCAACCCTGGAATATACCAGCACCAAACAGTCATTGCTGACCAAGTAAGAGCCAGGAGGTGGAATAGAATTTCAGGACAGTACCACTTCAGCCCAGGAAGGACCTTGTTACTTGTATAGGATGTGGCAGTTAAATGTGTATATGATTCAGTTAGTAACTTCATGATGTTTTCCACGTGCTCAGCCCTGTACTGGGACCTGTACTGGCTTAGAGGTAAGGAGTTGCACTGCCAACTCAAAGACAGATTTTTCAAATCTACCAGCTGTTCCACAGGGGAAAGATGGGCAATCTGCTGTGTGATTCGTAGTCTCTCAAAACCCGCCAGAGGATCAGCTATGAGTTAATTCCAGCTAATGGTACATAACAACAAGCCCTGTTGTAAAAAGAGCAAGGACAGCCAAGTCTGATTTGTATTAACTCCACAAAGGAGAATTGTCTCCATCAACAACATTTACGGTACAAAACTAATTCCTGTAAGGTTAGACATGGTCTTCCACATTCCTGCACCTACTTCTATTAATTCCAACACCAGTCTTAACTGTTTTACCAGGTCCAAAATCCTTTGCAATGACTACACAACTTCATAGAACCATACTCATGGTTATGGGGTTTATTAGGAAAGTTAACAGGCTATAATGTACGTTGGCAGCAAAAACCAATCCCTCAATCCAGATGGCTTCTCCAATGTGGTCACAAGCCCTTTGACCTTGAACCTCAACGGCTTAGGTCACTATTACGAAGTTCTCTTAGTCCTCCTAGTTAGAGTGTCTTCCCTCAGTCCTTCAGCAAACTTGGTTGAAGGCCTCTGGCTCTGGCTGTATGGGACAGCAGTCCTAAATCAGCTCTGTCTTGTGTCTATCTGTAGGTCTCTTGAGGCTCCTGCTGCTTTTGTGTAAATCCTCGTCTAGCTGGTGCAAGAACCTCTGGGCCAAAGGACATGCATTGCTTTCCCTTCCTTGTTGGTGTTGAGATGCCCAATTGCTGTCACTTAATCCCAATTTTATGGCAAGACTAGCCAGTCCCTTTGTGGATAGACTAACACACCTTATTTGTATGACTCATCCATGTGTCAGAGTCAGAGATTATGGCTAGGAAAGCCATTTTGAACAATAAATCCATAGCACCACACCTGTACTAGAATATAATATATAAATAAAACACAGGGCACATAGTTCTTGAATGAGTAAAGAGCACTGGTACCCGTGCCCTCCATTTGCTAGTAAATGCCTACTCTTCCTTTACTGTCCTGCCTCTATCAGTTGAGCTAATACTCAGCCACAAAATTAAGATCACTTAACTTGGATAAAGAATAGTTGGTAGGACTTTAAAGAAGAGTAAAATCCAGAGTGCTACAAATGCTGGGTTGGGGAAATGTCTAGACCACTTACTGTTCTTGATTTGCCAGCTTTCAACCAAAAGGCAGCTCCTTTGTTGATGATTACTCTCTGGGGGTCTCTGACAGGCTCTCTCCTAGATTTAGAACTCAAGATTTCTTTACTTTTCTGAAGCTTCACTTCTTTGTCTTGTGCTCCGTCATCACATCTGGGCCAAAGCATATGGCCTTTCATCATAGTTTTCTAGTGACTTCTCATTTTGACTTGCCCATCAAGTTCCTGTCAAAGGGCTATCTCCAGCTTTCAGCTCATTTTCAAAGGAGAAATGACTAGTAGACCTTAATTCCAATTAATGCCCTTCCCAGTACAGGTTTACCAGCCCTGCCCAATGCCCCAAGCTTCTCTGGCTCACCGCTTAGGTATCCTATGGGGCCTCTGGAATTGTAACTCTCCAGTTAAAGTAATAATGGTAGCTACCATTTATTATATGCTTAACATGTGCTAAGCACCATCCTGGGCACTTTTTTATATAATACTTAAGGCTAAAAACAGTGCTGCAACATAAATGCCATTATTACAGTCATGCTATAGAAACCAAGATCCAGAGAGGTTTATTAATAAATCAAGGTTGGTAAATGGAAGGGATGGAATTCAGAAGCTTTTTAAAAAAATTTACTTGCCCTTGTATGCATGTATGCAGTTGTTGTTGTTGCTGTTGTGTACTATAGAATCAGAACTAACCCATAGCTGACCCTCCTGTGGGTTTTCAGAGACAGTTAAATCATACAGGAGGAGATTGCCCATATTCCACAGAGTGGCTGGTAGACTCAAATCTCATGCCTTCAGGATTGCAGTGCAGCTTCTTGCCACTAGGACACCAGAGATCCCTATCAGAAGCACTTTTATTTGTAGTTAAGAGCCTGTGGACTTAACCATCAGCTACTCTTCCAACATGAAAAATATGATATATGTAGTAAAAGTATCAGACTGTTTGACTCAAGGGAAGAGTTATCAATCCCTCACAGCCTATACCGTTCAGGAGCTTATGTTTTAGGGGAAAAAATGGCTAATTTGAAGCCTTATAAGTACAAAAATGAGAGATGTGTAGTACATTGAAGAAAAAGGCATGCTGTTGAGACTGCTTATCTTCTCCACACATAAACACACTAACTCTTGCTGTTACAGTTGAAGGACGGTATTTTGATGAACCAGAGAGGGTTTCTATCCTCAAAGAACTTATGGAGCAGTGTGGGAATCAGAATGGTGAATACATACATTTTAAAATAGGACATGGGGAAACATGGGAATTGACTCCCTGCTTGAGGAACAGGAGGAGATAGCATATGGCTTAGTCCTTGAAGGATGAAGGATTTCACCAGATGGCGCTTGTATCCAAATAAAGGCATGGAAGAGGGAAAGTAAGATACTTTTTCATGTTTGAATAGTAGATGATGGTTAAGTCCAGAGGACCAGTGAGTATTTGATACCTGAGTACAGGTGCTTGAACAAATAATGATGGGCAGGGAGAGGCCAGATCAAGAATGACCCTGAAGGCCGAGTAGACTTGGCCTGAGGGGTGTCACTGAAACATAAGCAGGGACTGACATATTTTGATTTGTCTGTAAGAAAGGTCACTTTGCTACTTAGATGACAGGGACAGAGTAAAAAGAAGCATAGTGAGAGCCTAGGATAGATAGGGCATTAAAACCATAATGGTAGAGAAGGCACAGGAAGTCTACGAGATGGAAAGAGGTTGAGGCTGCAGGACTTAGTGGCGACTCATTGAGCTTGGGCAAAAGGCATAGGTGATGACAGGCTAGTAGTGCAATGGTGCAACTACAGGCCGTAAATGGAAGGAGCTGCTTTAGGTTCCTGTGAGTTACCCCATCTAGCTTATCTGACTTCTTGATTTAGTTCACAGTGTGCTTACGTCGGGAAGGGCAGACTGTATACCAGCAAGTCCTGTCCCTGGAGCACCCAAGTGTCCTGCGCAGTTGGAACTGGGGCCTCTGTGGGTTCTTTGCCTTCTACCATGCCCTCTATCCCCGAGCCTGGACTGTTTATCAGCTTCCTGGCCAGAATGTCACCCTCACCTGCCGACAAATTTCACCCATCTTACCCCACGATTACGAGGTGAGGTTACCCTTCTCTGTTCTCTCCCTTATCTCCCACCTTCCTGAATCTCCTGGTAGGCAGCCTGCCTGGGAACATATGGAGATGGGAATGGGAGACTGAAGAAAGTATATCAAGGAGTATTTGAGTCATGTCATGGGGGGCGGTGGGAAGGAGCTTCGTTGAGTCCAGTCTTTTGTCCCTAGGATAGCAGCTTGCCTGTAGGAGTCTTTGTGTGGGATGTGGAAAATGACAGTGATGAAGCCCTGGATGTGTCCATCATGTTTTCCATGCGGAATGGACTTGGGGGCGAGGATGATGCCCCAGGCGGTTTATGGAATGAGCCCTTCAGACTAGAGCAAGATGGAGAAACTGTACAGGGGTTGCTGCTGCATCATCCCACCCTTCCAAACCCTTACATAATGGCTGTGGCTGCACGACTCACGGTAATGACAGACATACCCTGCACCTTAGCCCCTAGGCCCACCTCCACCCCACCATGGTCCTACCCTTAGTCATAGTCCTTAAAGCCCTGAAACTTGGAGTTTGGGGATGTATAACAGGAGCTGGAGAGTTTGTCATAATCCATTCTATCTGTGGGGCTCCCCTCACAAAGTGTTTGGCCCCTTAACAGGCAGATACCACGGTAACCCACATCACAGCCTTTGACCCTGACAACACTGGGCAGCAGGTGTGGCAGGATCTACTTCAGGATGGACAGCTGGACTCCCCTCCTGGTGATGCGGGGCCTAACAGGCGGGTGGTGGGAATAGAGGTGGGAGGCCTAGTAATAGGTAGGCTTTGTTCCCATTTTAGGGATCCCTAGTTAGGGAGCTAGAGTTATGCCTGTGCTAATTCCTCTTCCACTTCTCTTAGGCCGAAGCGCCCCCACTCAGAAAGGAGTCGGCATTGCAGGAGCTGTGTGTGTTGCAGGGAAGCTGCCGCCTCGAGGACGATGCTGCCTGGAGTTCTCACTAGCATGGGATATGCCTAGGATTGTGTTTGGAGCCAAGGAACATGTACACTACAGGTGACGGAGTTAACACAAGACACAGATCTGAGGGACTAGAGCCCAGAGCTGGAGCCCTGTTCTTATTCCTCCCCTTTTCAACACCAGGCGATACACAAGGTTCTTTGGTCAAAGTGGTGATGCAGCACCCGCCCTTAGCCACTATGCACTGTGCCAATATGCAGACTGGGAAGAGAAGATCTCGGCTTGGCAAAGCCCGATATTGGAAGACAGGTGCTAGTGAGACCCATCTCCATGGCCACTTTGCCTCTCTCCCAGCCGCTCCAACTCCTCCTGGGACTCCTGGTTCATTCTGTCTACTTTCTGCTGAGCCACAGAATCCTTCCTTTCCTGAGAGTTCACTCAGATCATTCCCTCTTCCTGATTCCCTAGATCCTTGCCTGCCTGGTACAAATCTGCATTGTTCAATGAACTGTACTTCTTGGCTGATGGAGGCACAGTATGGCTGGAAGTTCCTGAGGATTCCCTACAGGAGGAACTGGAGGGTACCTTAAGGCAGCTTCGCCCCATGCTACAGGAGTATGGTCGATTTGGCTATCTTGAAGGTAGGTCTACTAGGGACTGAGGGTATGGCAGGCCACATACTTGAGGCCAGTTAGTGCCATTTCACAAAGCAGGATAATGGGGTTTGCCTTTCCCAGGGTATTGGTTGGGATGTGGAAGATGTAGCTTGGCTGGTCCTATCAATCTTAAGGAAGGGGGAGGTCTGTGAAGGGGAAGCAGAATTCTGGCAACCATGTTTCTTCTCAATTCCAGGCCAGGAATATCGCATGTACAACACATATGATGTCCACTTTTATGCCTCCTTCGCTCTTGTAATGCTCTGGCCCAAACTGGAGCTCAGCCTGCAGTATGACATGGGTAAGGGTCCCTCTCATGCCCCTTCTCCCCTTTCAGTTCCTGCAACCTTGAGCTTTGTCCAACACATTTCTGTACCGTGCCTGTTGGCTCCCCTGTGGACACACTTACTGTAGTTCTGTACTCCATTCTACCCCTGCCCACCCACTTACTTGACTGCATCCCCAGCTCTGGCCACTCTGAAGGAAGACCTAACACGACGACGATACCTGATGAGTGGGCTGATGGCACCTGTGAAAACGAGGAATGTCATCCCACACGACATTGGGGACCCAGGTAAACGTCCCTCCATCCTGTGGTCAGCTTCTCGCCTCAACTTGAGCACCTTTACCCTAGCCACCAATGCAAAGGAACTAGGTCTCCTCACCTCCCACAGATGATGAGCCGTGGCTCCGGGTCAATGCATATTTGATCCACGACACTGCTGACTGGAAGGACCTAAACCTGAAGTTTGTGCTGCAAGTTTATCGGGACTATTATCTGACCGGTGACCAGGGCTTCCTGAAGGACATGTGGCCTGTGTGCTTGGTAAGGGATGCATGTGCAGTGGCCAGTGTTCCAGCAGCGTGACTGGTGTTTGGGGAGAGCCCAGCTGGCTGTGATTCTTTCCTTGGTATCTAGGTTCTCGGTCTTTGTTTAGGCTGTTATGGAGTCTGAGATGGAGTTTGACAAGGATCATGATGGACTCATTGAGAACGGAGGCTATGCAGACCAGACCTATGACGGATGGGTTGCCACGGGGCCCAGGTTGGGGGTTGGGGGGTTGCCAAAGGCTGAGGTGGGAAGCTGGGTGCCTGAGGATTGTGAGGCTCAGGGAAGGGTTCCTCATTGCTTATTACATTGCATGGGAGTGGTTGCAGCTGCTGGTCTGACTACAAACCCATGTCAAATCAGTGCATACTGTGGAGGGCTGTGGCTGGCAGCTGTCGCTATGATGGTCCAGATGGCTATTCTTTGTGGAGCACAGGACATTCAGGAGAAGTTTTCTTCCATCCTTAGCCAGGGCCAAGAAGCCTATGAGAGGTTGCTGTGGAATGGTGAGTTAGGGGAAGCTGATTGGTGGGGAGTCTCAAGGCAGTCATGATGATACAGCTACGATGATTCTTTGCCCTTCCTATCCTCCAGGCCGCTACTACAACTATGATAGCAGCTCCCACCCTTGGTCCCGTTGTATCATGTCTGACCAGTGTGCTGGTCAGTGGTTCCTGAGGGCCTGTGGTCTAGGAGAAGGAGACACGGAGGTGAGACAGGAACTAGACAAAGCAGCATAAGAGAAAGAAGGATTCTCACTAGAGGTAAGAAGCATGTGTAAAGGACCATGTTTTTGCCCTTGCCTCTTCAGGTATTTCCTACCACACATGTGGTCTGTGCTCTCCAAACTATCTTCAAGTTCAACGTCCAGGCCTTTGCAGGAGGAGCCATGGGAGCTGTGAATGGGATGCAGCCCCATGGGGTCCCTGATAGATCCAGTATCCAGTCTGATGAAGTCTGGGTGGGTGTGGTCTATGCACTGGCAGCCACCATGATCCAGGAGGTAATGCACTCCCTCCCTATGATCTCTCCTTGGCCTGGCAGACTTCCTCCATTTAGGCCATCTTATCCAGAAGGTTTCTTTCTTTTCCCTGGCATACAACCTAGTTCCTGCCCTTTTGCCTTTGGGTCAAGTTTAATTTTGCTTACTAGCTGGGAGCTCCCTGAGGCCAGACAGGTTGCTTCCATATATCCAGTTGACGTGGTTGTTCAGTTGTATGACTCTCATTCTTGCCCACAGGGCCTGACATCCGAAGGCTTCCAGACAGCTGAAGGCTGCTACCGCACAGTATGGGAACACCTGGGTCTGGCCTTCCAGACGCCTGAGGCATACTGCCAGCAGCATGTGTTCCGCTCCCTGGCTTACATGCGGCCTCTGAGCATCTGGGCCATGCAGCTGGCCCTGCAGCAGCAGCAGCAGCAGCATAAAAAGGCCTCCAAGCCAATAGCTGAACAAAACACAGGACTAAACAGAAGGCCTAAATCTGGACCAAAGGAAGCCATAGCAAACCTGAGCCCAGAGTGAGCCCTGTGAACTGTGAGAGGGAGGAGCTGACAGGCCCAGCCTCCAGTCTGGCCTTCCCTCCTTTCTGGCAATCTCCTGCATCCCTGAGCCACCAGGACAATCATACCTCCTTCCCCATCCCAACCCAGCTGTGCCAGTAAAGAGGGGTGGGGGAGATCCACGCGTCAGAATCACTTATTTATTTCTTTCCTTACCCGCTCCCCTCATTGCATGAAGTGTTCAAGGCGGATCACCTGAATCTACCAGGGCCATTCACAGGATAACAGGTACACAAAAGTACAAATAAAAGACCTAGAAAGCTATTAAGTCTGGTATGCTTGAGTCTCAGGCTTCCTGACAGGGCACATGAACTGGCAGTAGCTCTCTCCCATTCTTTTGTATTTGGACATATTGGGGTACCCAGGTACCTGCCAAGGCTCCCCTCAGTCTCACATTTAGCCTGAGTGCCTGACCTGCAATATGACAGATGAGAGGTTGTGGGTAGGGAGCCATCCCTGCTGTCTTGTAAGATTCACATGCAGAGGAATGGTGGGTCTTAAAGAGGAATACAATGAGAAGGGGTCAGACAGGGTCTGCTTCAGTGGAGGATCTGTACTAGGAGTCTGAGGCATATGGTACAAGAAGCAGCAAGAATTGCCAGGGGCCTGGAGAAAATGATCTGAGTTGTCCAGCAACTGGTCTGTACTGTCCTTTGGTACCTCTGACTGCAGGACAAGCAGCTCCAGCTCGTGAGGGTCCTCTCTGGGAATTGACCGAAGTTGCCGGGACAACACTGAGAAAACAAAGGAGATCTTCAGGGACAGGCCAGGGCTGTTCCTAACACATGCCTTTGTGGCAGCCTCAAGCCTCTCACCTCTGTTCTCAGCGGGCAGGGTCCCCTTTATGTTGGAGGAATACATTGCAGGTAAAAGGAAGAGACAGAAGGAAAAGAGCAGGACCTGAAACACAGAAGAAGAGTAGAAAGGGGCTCTGGATTGCACCATCTCCCCTATACCAGAGCAGAGGGTCTCGCCTTCCATCCCCAGCCTCACCAGGACACAGGTGCTGCTGCTGCTAGTTTTGTTTGATATCTGAATCACCAGGGCCTGAAGTTTCCTCAGCTGATCCAGAAGGGATCTAGAGACAGAAGGGAGTGAGCACACCCTGGCTTGATAAATTATACAGTGCAATATTCAGGTTAAGACTACCCCTTCATCTATGCTTAGGTAATTTTATTTTTGTCCTGTTTTTGCCAGTGACCACTTCTCTGCAGATAAAATGGTTCATATTCCCCATTAAAAATTACAACAAAAATCCTTTTCCCCCCGACTAACTCATCTGCAAAAAGAAATAATTCTGTGTGATCAATGATGCACATGATCCTCACCAAATATTCCTTCTGGTCCTAATTCACTGTGTCAGAGTTGCAGCCAAACTGGACAGTGTTGTGTTCTCTCTTCCTGAAATGCTTACTTCACTCCCAGAATCCTATCTACTAACATATGCCAGTCACTTTCTAAGGTCCCTTTTCCTTTCTTTCCCTTTCTTTGTACTGTATAGTTATTTGTGAATTTATTCTGCTAGTACTGTAATCTACTTGGCTTAGACAGTGAAGGGTAAACACCAGACTACATAAGAAAAGCTTCCCAGTTAGAAGTGTGTAAGAGAGGAGAGAATGGGATGACATTAAATGGAAGGGAGGAGAAAGGACTGAAACAGGAGGCTTACTTACAGATTCTGTTCTTCCAGGAGCTGTACTTTGTTCTGTAACTCCAGATTCTGGGCTGTGTATTTCGAGATCCTGGGGAAAGATAAGACCTTTAGCCTCCCTTCAAAAACACTTTCAGCTACCCTCTTCCCTCAGCCTTCGAGTCTCTCTTCCTTTCATACCTGCTCTCTAAGCCTCCCACATACACCTTCTTCTTCCTACGACTCTCTTGAGCAGACTTTTTGTTTCTAATCTTCCTCCGCACTCGCTTTAGAGCTTGTTCCTCCTTCTGGGAGATGACAGGTAAGGGACATATTAGAGGAATACTGGACCAAGGAGTTGGAAGACAAATTAGTTCATTCATAAGCACTCTGAATACCTCTGGGGACCAGATGTTAACATCTTTCTTAAAAAGCCCAGACCATTTTTAATTCTTTTTTTTAAAAAAAGAACAACTCTTGAGTCAACATCTATCTGCCTCATATTTCTATTGGACTTACCTTGTATCTAATTTTTGGAGCCATGTCAAGCAAATCATTCTTAACTAGTTTAAGAGACTTGACATTTCTTCAGAAATCTGGGCAAAAACTTAACTCCTCATGTCATCTGCACTCAGGATGTATTCCATTATATTAATATCTAAAGTAGGCAGAAAACTGCTAAAATGTGCCTCTAAACACAGCCTCATTCATTCAGTAGTTTATATTACTGCTGACTCATCATTTTAGAAATGCAAATTCCCTTAATCTATGAATGAACATTGATTTCATCAGTTTCATAAAACAGTACCTATGAAGTCACCCAATAAATTAAAGCATACAAATGTATATTCTCATCCTGTTAGTCCAGCCTTGTTGAAATAGAAAGTTTAATTCTGCCTTTCAACAAGAGGTGGATTACTATGAAGCCAATGGCATCATTGCATATGATCCATAGTATAGTAATACTGTAGTGATGTTCTGTGCCATCAAGTTGGAACCAACAACAAAAGATGGAGCTGATTCTCTAGTGGGTTTTCAGAGGCTATAAATTGCCCATCATTCTCTTGTGGAGCAAGAGCAGCAAGCTGCCTCTGGCTTGGCCATACGACTCCTTACTAGACCACCACAGCTCCCTATATTGTGATAATTTTTAGGTTTTTTTCCGTCATGAAAACTAACATTTTCATAAATTTCAAACCTACCAAAACAGCATTTTGCATCCCACACATGGGGAGAGGAGTAATCATGAGGTTGTACAATTTGATGGGGGATGAGGGAAATTGGAAGAATCTATTCTGGAAAACAATGTATTAGAATTTTGTAAATAAACTAGTATAATAATAAAAATAAAAGAATAAACGAATTGTTGGGGGATGCGCAACAATGAATTAATGAAAATGACTAAATTTTCATTAAAATCACAAAAAATTATATTAAAAAAAGCCATGGGCTTTCTTAATACCAACAAATTTGTTCCATTTCACCCTTCTGCCCATTTAAAAAATCTGTTGTTGTTTACCCTAGAGTAAGAACTGATGACCCGCCGGGTTCTCGGAGGCACTGAAAGAGATTGCCCAGTCTCCCGAAGAGCAGCTGGTGGATTCAAACCAAGTGCCTTCAGGATTTCAGCGCAGCTTTTTGCCACTAGGTCCCCAGAGCTCCCTTTTTAAAATTACTGATACAAAATTACCTTACTTCATAGCCATAGAGCTTTCTTTTCGCCTCTACTCTGCCAATGGTAATCATACCTTAGTGAGAGGAAGTGTTCTGGGAAGAGTAAGCCCCTCTTTCTCCAACAGCTTCTTCTCCTCATCTGTCAGTAGGAGCCTCTCCATATCCTGGGGCTATTAGGGGATGGGAAGGAGATGAAGACCATGGAGATGTTGAAGAGGAATGTCAAAGTACAATGGGCAATTTTGTCCCCATTTGCGCAGTGTGGGTATAATCCTCTAAACCAAGTACCTGCTCTGCGGGCTCTTTCACCTGCTGTGACATCTTCTGGGCCTCCTCACCCGCAAAGCTCCCACTGTCTGCAAAAGGGAAAGTATCAATAGCCAGGCTCTTAGCCCCTTCCTCTCTCATATACCTCAATTATTTCAGACTCACCTAAATCTATGGAGACATATTCCTGTGGGAGGGAGTAGTTGTGATCGTGATGGACACGGCAGGGACTGGAGGAGCTGTGAGCGTTCAATGATGGTGGGGGACTTAGCAGGGAACTCAGGAGATCCTCCACCTCCCACTCACTCAGAACCTGCGTAGGGTTCAGATTAACGGGCTTTGACTTAACACCGACGCCACACCCCTCATGGACACGCCCAACTCGGCCCTCACCTACTCAGAAACTTCCACTCACCTCGGAGAACGGCTGCTCCCAGTCCAGCGGGGCCTCCACAGCCTCCTCGGGCGCCACCTCCAAACCTCCACTTTCTTTTAGGAGAAAACCCAAAAGGTCCTGGTCACTGGGGCCCAGTGACAGCTCCATATGGGCCATCTACACAGAAGATGGACAAAAACTCGCTCTCCAGCTCTAGTACCTGAACCCCCAGTATGATCCACAGCCCAATTGCCGATCCCTCACCTATGCTCCTGACCTTCAGACAGATTTTGCCCCCTAGCTGCTAACCCCACTCGCAGGCGGACCCGCAGCCCAAGACTCGATTCCTTCGACTTCCAACACAACGGAAGTAATGCGCCTCGCCACCACGGCATTCTGGGACATGGAGTTCACTCCAACTCGGAAGTGGCCGGGGTGCTGCGCCACGTCCCCTGGGCTATGCAAATAGCGGGGACGTCCCTGCAGCCTCCGCGCACCCTGAGGGCGGGAGTTCCAGAGATCCAGCTCCGCCTTCGCCTTCTGCGAGAAAAGGAAGGCTTCGAGCCTGAAAGGGAGCTAGGAAGCAATTCGGGCGTTTTCTCCGGATTGTACACACCCTTGCTTCCTGCTGGGGAGGGGCGGCTAGTCTTCGGCGGGCCCCAGAGCATCGAGAGCGGGGCTAGAGTAGCTTCCTGCAGTCCCTGCAACCATAGAGCGCGGGTCCAGGGCGCCGCCCGCGGGTGGGGGACGTTCCAGGGACGGAAGTGGCCAAGAGAGAGTCTGTCGGCGGGAGGGCGAGGCCGGAGCCGGAGAGCGACCGGGAGAACGAGCAGGCTAGCGGGCCGGCGGGCGGGGCACAGAGCCGGGCAGCGCAGGTAGGCCGGACCGGGCCAAGCTGGAGCCCCGGGGTGGGGCCGCGAGGTCCAGCCCGGGAGGCGGGCGGGCGGGCGGGGCCCGGGGCTGTGCTGCGTCTGCTCTTTCACGTCCTGTTTGAGAGGTCAGGGTCCAGTGTATCTCGATCTGGTCTCGGAGCTAAGTAGACTGTTTTGCAGGAGCCAAGCCTTGCGTGGGTGCACTCCTCTGTCTGGGATGGGTTTTAGCGAAGGTGAAGAGTGAGGCTCAGGGCGGGGCTAGGTATTGGGGTTAGCTGATAGCGGTTATGTGAGCTAAAATGGATTTGGTATATTTGAGATTGAGGTTGGGTTTTGGATTCAAGGTTAACTTTAGAAGGTAGAAAGCCAGGATCCAGTGATAAGTGTAAGTCAGGTCCATTTTATTTGTAATGTTTAGATCAAGGTGGTTATGTTACCTGGGTTGGACAGTTTAAATCAGAGAGTTGAGGGTCAGCAATAGGAATTAAGTTGGAAGCCCGTTTAGGGAATCGTAGGAAGTTGAAATGGTCGAAATTAGGGATAAGCAGTAATGATTAGAAATCAAGATACGAAAGAAGTTTAGATTTAAGGCTTAGTTAGCATTTAGGGTTAAGTTCAAAGAGGTTGGTGTTAAAGGTACCTTTAGATCTGCATTTGGGATCAGACAATGAATATGGCTTTCCACTAGGAAAGATAAGTTTGGAATTAGGACAGCGGTCTGGGTAGTGGCTGTGGGTAGGTAGAATTTAAGACACTGCCAGTAGGCAGATGCTCATGTGTGGGGGGAAAGTCTCTTATTCATAGGGCCGCCTTTGACCTGGAAAGATCACAAATTCAGTGCTAGGCTGGAAGCTCAGGTGACTAGGAACCTAGCTTCTCTGTTTCTATCTCTAAATCCAAGACTTTTTCTGTTGCCAGTACAGTTGATGGGACTGGGCTTCCTGGACTGTGTTGTTTACAAGGTGGGAAGTTGAAAGGGACCAGGAGCTCAGGAGGTACCCAATTTCTAGTCATAAGAGGAAAACTGCTTAGAGGGAGGGGGGTGGTGACTAAGAGACACAGACTACATAACCATTATTGTCCTGTAAGAAGTAGAAGGTTGAATCCCCCAAACGCTAGCCCCACTGCCCCCTCCCTTCCTTGCTCTTCCACTCACATCCCTGGCCTTGCCTTACCCTCCCCAGATTTCGCATTTTAGATATCTCTTGCCTTATTCTTTTTTTTGCCTTATTCTTCATCTTATTACCCGTTCCTACTCTATTCTGCCAGCCCCTCCCCATTCAATTCTCACCTCTTACTTTCATTTTCCTTGCCTAAATGTGAGCTTTCCCACTATTTAAAAATACTCTCCCACCATTTCACCCACCCTTGCTATTAGTCTTTTGAGCAGCCTGCTAACCCAACAGCTACAGACCCTGGATCACTACTATGGGCTACCTCCGGTTCTAAGCCTCCTTTAGTTTCTTGGTTAATTGTAGATCCCCTTCCCCCACTCCCCAAACAGAAAAGAGGAAATGAGACCCAAAGAGGAAACTGGGTCTTGCTGATCCCACGCCCAGCCAGGCCACTGACCACACCCCCATTTTGCTCCCAGCCTGACCTGGCCACTGACCACAGCTCTGTCGCCTGCCCAGGGCTGACCAAGCCACTGGCTATATTCTGTCCCTCCTCCAATTCCAGCTTTACTTAGCTGCTGCCAGTGTACTGTCAGTGCCCCACCCCTGTCTAATTTAGCCACTGATAACAGTCCCATCTCTTCTCAACCCTGTGGCCTAGGCTGGCCTCTGACCTCACTGCCTATTTTCCTTGAGTCTTAACCATTGCCCACACGTCCATTCCTCCCCTTCCTCTAGCCTGATCAGTGTTCACATGTTCATTTTCCTACCAATATTGTTACCCATCCCCAGCCTGTAGCAGAGACTAATGCCCTGTCTGTCCTTACCTATTCCCATCCTACCTGGATACTAATCACAGAGCTATCAGTACCCTCTCCTCCACAGTGTCATCTTCACATTCTAACTCAGTGTCATGCTTTGCTTACCTCAGGCTGCTCAAAGTGTCACAGCCACTAAGTGGCTACTGATGACAGGAAACTCTGAGATCCCAGCCTGATTTTAGACCCTAGTACTTGAGAATATGTCTGAGATGGTGAAGATGGCACAGGATGGGACAGAATACAGTTCTGTTGTTCATAGGGTCATTATGAGTTGTACTCAACTTGATGACACCCAACAGCAACTTAAGAACAAACAGAGTGCTCGCTTCGGCAGCACATATACTAATGTTGGAATGATACAGAGAAGATTAGCATGGCCCCTTCACAAAGAATAAACAGGGCAGGCCTATACTTCTCAACACTTCTGAGGGACATCCTCCTCTCCACCTTCAAACTCTGATTTCAGTCTTTCTCGCTTTTACTAACAAATTCTCTTTCTAACCAATGTCTAAGATAACTGCCAGAATTATTTTCTGAAATCCAGTTCTGGTCACGTCCCTTCTCTGCTCAAAAACTTTTCCTGTCCACCTGCTGCCCTTCAGTAAGTAATCTCCCTTGTCCTCTGCTGCCTTTCCATCCTAATTCTAACTTCCCCACCACTGCTCCCTTGCAGGTACCCCGCACTTCAGCCAGCCTGCCTGCTCGCTTCCCTGCTTCTCCGCGATTTCCTGCTTTTCCACCTTTGCTTATGCTATTCTCTGCCTGGAATGCTACCCCTGACTCATCTCCGGCTGGCGTGGTGGACCTGAGCTTGGTTGGGTATTGGAGTCAGATCCTGGCTTCACAGCTTGTTAGCTGTGTGACTTTGGACAAGTAATTCTGAAGAAATACTTCCCGAATGAGCCTGCTTCCTTGTTTAAGAAAAAGACAATCACAGCACCTACCTTGCAGGGATGTTGTAAGGATTAAATGAAATCATGTACAAAGCAGTTGACACTTTGGCAATAAATAGTAGATCATTATTGGATTTTTTTTTATCCTTATTTCTTAAAATCTAACATCAAATGACACCTCTTTCATACAGACTTTCAGTTTTCCTTCCCTAGCCTATTGGGAACTCTATCTCTGAACACACCTCTTGGCTCCCAGTGCTTCCTGCTCTCTATTGTATTTCCATACTTGGCTGCTCTACTTCTCTCCCCTTCAGGGCAAAGGCTATGTCTTACTCATCTCAGTTCCTGACCACAAAAAGTATGACCTGGGGCCTTCCCCACAACAGGCCAGTCAGGAGTGCTTGCTGGTTGAATGGAGAGAGAATGTATGTGCATATAATGGAAGGGAAGTTGTTGGAGTGGGTGCTGTGTTAGGAGATGGAGGTAGATTTGTAGGGAACCTGTGTGTGGGGGATAGGTCTGAATGGGAAGATAAAGGTTCTAGAATGTGCTCTCTGGAGGGCTGTGAGAATGAGATAGCATGTATGTAAAGAGATACCAAGTAGGTAGCTTGATGGAGCTAGGATGCATTTGGGAAAGATAAAGGTGTAGGTGTATGTGTGGGTCCTGTGTTGGGGAGGTCACGTCTAGCCCTTCAGCTGCCCAGTCTAACCCCTAAGTGAGCCTCCAGCAGCCTGAGGCCGGATATGTCAGTCTCACCCACAACCCTTCCCCCGCCCCCGCAGTTGCGGACTCAGAGGCCAAATTTGGTAACAGACTGAGTGTTACTCCGAAGTCCTCTTACATGCTGCCTGTCTTCTGTTTCCTCACTCCCTTTATGCTTCTCTGTAACTCCCTGTCTTCTTGCTGCTCCCTTTGTGGTATCTGCTCTGATTGTTGTCTCTGTGTACCCCAAATACCTTCCCCCCAATCCACTTAAATTCCATTCCTTCCTGGGATTTGACCTCCTGTCCCCTATCACACAACCCCCCCCTCTATTGCCCAACTCCTCTGGAATGCACCTCAGGAATGTCTTGGAGGAGGAGGAGTTCCCTGGGAGGGAGACATGATGGGGAGTTGGGGACTGATGTTGTTCTTCCATAAAAAATGATGGAAAGGTCCACAAAGTTGTCAAGCCAGAGAAGAAACAGGCCAGCCTTTCCCTGTTCCTTGCCCCCATTGCACTGTTCAGTTCCCTCTCCTCCTCTTATCCTTTGGAGCTGTGTGGAAGTTAACTCAGGCCCAGCCTGGGCGTGAGGGTAGGCATGACTCAAGTTCCTTATCGGGGTCTCACCAGAGATATCCTTACTTGAAGAAGGGGGTGTCCATATGTCCGGAGGAAATGGGGGGAGACATGTCCTTGAGCTTAAAGCAAAGGGGCTTTTCAGCCCTGTCCTCGGCTCCTCTGGCTTCTCCAGCTTCTTCTGACTTCCAGCC